ATTTCGAAGGTATTAACGAGACGATTATAATGGTGTAACTTGTTAAAATAAAAATGTATTTTTTAAACATGTTTTAATTGATATACGATTATGTATGTTAATTTGATAAAGATTTAAAATGAAACATTTAAAAGTAAATGACGTAAAGTAAATTAATTAATTAATTATAGGGGTATAAAATATAAATTTAAAATTATAATTTTAAAAAAATCGTTTTAATGTGAGAGGGTGAGTGTATGTGAGGAGGTGAGTGTATGTGAGGAGAGAAAGGGGTGAAAAAGTGAGGTAGTATAGATAAGGGTATCTTGGTCATTTAGTATTTTAAGACTTTAAGACTTTTGCTAAATTTGCTTTATAAGATAGTATAGACTAACATAATATGAATTAAGTTAAGTTAATGGAGGAATTTTTTTTTTATTAACCTCGATATCCAACCCGCTATGCGGGTTAACTAATCCCAGGGCGATCACCTGTTTTGCAAATAGCCTTGAGTCACCGTGTTTGAACCTCCGTGGCCACAAAAGGGATTTTTGTTTCTAATTGGATTTGAGTCTGAGACTTCTTGGTACTTTTGACATTTGGAGACAAGCTCAAACCAATCAGACACCACCCTTGTAGTTTTTTAATGGAGGAACTTTATTCATCTAAGAGAAACTGAAACCACAAGAAAAGTTACAAAACCAATCACCAATTTGTGATGCGAACTCTGAAAGATAATGCTAATCCTTTCAAAGTCAGTCTCTCTCTCTCTCTAAATTCKTGATGTTCGAGTGTAATACAAAGGGTTGAATTTATATGACAACGCAAACGTATCTCAATGCAACAGGGAAATATTGGATTTTCGTCCTTGTCGTTTGGCACAATAGTCTCTTTATGCATGACACTATCACGTCATAAATGAATAATGTTTCGGTTGCATTCGTGGATTCGAAACGGACATCAACCCTTTCATGGAGAGTGCAACCTTTATGTTTTTCCTTCTAGTTTGGTCATTGGTTGTT